TGCTGAGAACCGCTCTCTCCTGGATGCAAAAAGACGTCCAGGAGTGAAAAAAGACGTCCTCTGACTGTAACTCCACATGTAACTGTCCATTGCGGCGTAGTGTGTTACCAATGGTTTGCTGGGTGACTGTGGTCCCACCTGCCTTAAGATCATTAACAATCTCCTCCCGTGTAGTTTGGGGCTGATCCCTCACCTTTCTCATGATCATCCTTACCCCATGGAAGATACAGATTGTGTGGACAGGTGTTTTATACACCTAACAATCTGACATTAGGAGTAACTTCTTAAAGTGGCAGGACTAATCTGTGTTCCACATGGGCACATAACCAGTCTGTGGGAGCCAGAATTATTGCTGGTTGATAGGGGATCAAATACTTATTTCACTCACTGAAATGCAATCTCTAACCTTTATATAATGTGTTTTTTCTGGATTTTTTGTTTGGTATTCTGTCTCTATCCATTAAAATAAACCTACAATAAAAATTACAGACCCTTCATTTCTTTGTAAGTGGGCAAACTTACAAAATGAGCAGGGGATCAAATAAATATTTTTCCCACTGTATAAGGCAGCTGTTATAAGTGAACAGAAATAACTGCTTTCGTTTTTGGGCATCCACCCTCTAAGTTGCCTTTCTGGCAAGAAAAATAATATTTCAATTTACATTTGGGAGATTATACACCTAACGAGCTGACATTAGGAGATAGATAGATAGATAGATAGATAGATAACTGATTCTCCTGATTTTATTGCACTTCCACCTCCCAGTCACCAGTGGTGCTGGGCACAATGCCTGAATGTGTGTGTGTTTGTGTGTATTAGTCTCAAAACCGTATGTGTTTCTTTCCTCCTGTGTACTAATTAGTGACGTCAAAGTGAGCCAACAAAATGTTCTAGTGCCATAAAGTTACTCCAGTTACAAGTCTCATCTGATGTGTAGTTTTAACTTCAATCCACAGTAAATCTGGCTCCTCACAGCGCAGAGTTACACAAAAGCAGCTGACAGGATTCTGCTTTAGTTATTACAACATGCATTCATGTCGAAAAATAAATACACTCTCAGAAAAAGGTACAAAGGCTATCACTGTGGTGGTATCCTTTCAAAAGGTACACTTTTGTACCTTATTTACCCCTAAAGGGTGGATATCAGTACCTTAAAAGTACATGTTAGCCTTTTTGTGACGGCTTTTGTACAATTTTTATTTTTCCTGACAGTGTTTGGAAGTCGACAAAATATTTGGTTTGTATAGTATCTTACAAATAATTAATTTGCATGACACATACTGGTCAAGCATTAGTCATTGGCTTTGCATTAGAAGACAATAAGCTTTGTTGCATACAAAATCTTAATATTACTAATATGCAGCAGTATAAATAAAAATAACTTCAAAAAACATCACTTAAGAGACTTCCACCATCTTTAACGCCACAACAACCCGGGTATCATAGTTTCTCAATGGTAAATATAAGTTTGCTTGGTCATTAATGTGGACATAACCCAAAATTATGATAACTACTCATCCTTAGAAGTTCCTACTTATGAGTTTGTTAGTCAAAATTATAACATCAGAATACTCCAAACAAAGAAAGAACTTCTTCAGCACATCTATTTTTAAGCCCTACTGCAACAAATTTAAAAGCAAAGGAAGCACATTCGGTGCTTACTCTTGAGAATCATGGGAAATGCAGTTTTGTTGCATAAGCCTGTCTGTTCATAAACCAGCAAGCT